GGGGAGAGAGAGAGAGGGAGGATGGAAGTGAGGAGGACGTCGGAGTCCTCACAGGCTTCTGGCCAACAATCCATTGGAAGATGTCAATAATCTCACACTGCAACACAATCAGATCGAACAAGAAACACACCTGACACTGATCTCAACTTATTGCCTCCTCTCCCTAACTCCTCCATTCTCTTCTCCCTCTGTTCTCCCTTCTCTTCTCCCTACCTGTTCTCCCTTCTCTTCTCCCTACCTGTTCTCCTTCTCTTCTCCCTACCTCCTCCTTGTACCTCCTCTCCCTTGCATCCTCTCCCTGTCTCCTCTCCCTTCTCTTGTCTCCCTTCTCTCCTCTGCTCTACCTGCACGATCTTGCAGTATTCTTTGATCTCTGCATCAGTGAGCTTCTCGACGTTCGCTTCAGCCCATCGTCCCTGTACGAAAGATGAGAACACGTGTAAGAGATGAGGAGGAGAGTAGTAAGAAATAGAGTAGTAAGAGACGAGGAGGAGAGTAGTAAGACATGAGGAGGAGAGTAGTAAGAAATAGAGTAGTAAGAGACGAGGAGGAGAGTAGTAAGACATGAGGAGGAGAGTAGTAAGAGACGAGGAGATAGAGAGGAGCGGAAACAAGTGACGGAAGGGGAGGAGGCACTGAGGTCAGCCTACCATGATGAGGTCTGTCTCCAGCCATCCCGTCTGTCTCGACCTGCACGTGCGAGCAGTCAAGTCGCTCGCCATGGCCGGCAGCGGCTGCACCTGTAGATCAATGCGCGCTTGAGGTTCTCGAGTTTGTGGGGGTCAACGTCGCCTGAGCAATCAGTGACTGAGAGGAAGAGAGCTAGGAGGACGAGAACGAGGAGAGGGGAGGATGCACAGGGGAAACGAAGAAGGAGTTGGGAGGTTGGGGAGGAGGAGGACGAGGACGAGGGGAAGGAGGACGAGGATGAGGAGGATAAGGACAAGTGGAGGAGCAGGGGAAGAGGTGGAGGAAGGGGCGAGGATCACCAGCTGAAGTGAGGAACTTTCGCGGATCAAATGTGTCCAACGAGTTTGTGACCTAGAAAGATGTGAGGAGAAGAAGGGAAGGGCTGGAGCACAGACGCTCGTGAAATCCACTCCCCCAGCAGCTGCTGAGAAGGGACGGCGAATGGCAGCGAATGATGTGGGGGAGCTGCGAACTAGCTTCAAGCATGATGAGGACCTGAAAACAAATCCTTGACTTTCGCATAGAGAACCGATCCTCCCCTCTATCATCATAGCTCCTTATACTCCTCTCTGTTTGTCGTTCCCTCTCGTTGTCCCCATCAAATACCCTCGCTCCTCTCTTCTATCCTCTCCTCTCTCCTCTCTCCCATGTCCTCCCCTCCCCTCTCCAAACTCTCTTTCCTTCCCCTCTCATCCCCACTCTCCTCCCCCATCCCTACTCTCTTCTCTCCTCGCTCCCCCATCCCTACTCTCTTCTCTCCCCCCTCCCTCCTCCCTCCTCTCCTCTCGCTTCACCTCTTGGCTGCTTGCACAACAAACCGAGACGCCATGGCGACGTGTTCTTCACCGTTCGCTGCCAGTAGGGGTTGTTTATATGTGGCAAATGGGGGTTATTGAGGTTGGGGTGGTAGAGGTAGAGGTGAAGGAATGGTGAAGTTTGTTCCGACAGTGGTAGTGATGGCGGTGATGATGGCGAGTGCGACAAGACAGGAGGAAGGAGGAGGAGGAGGAGGAGGAGGAGACAGATTGGCGACGAAGCCATGCTTCTTGACATTGATCAGCCCTCGGGATGGAGGAAGATACTTTCAAGGTGCGGACTGTAACACGGGAAGGAAAGGTGACGGGATGTAGGCGAGGACATCGAAGTTCATGTGGGAAGAAGCAACGGAGAAGCGAGTAAGATGTGATGTAATGCGAAGAGAGGAGGGGAGAGGAGAGGAGGAGGAGGGGTAGAGGAGGGGAGTGCAGAGGAGAGGACGGCAGGCGGAGGCGAGGGGTAGATGGGATAGT